TGAGCATCGGAGTGCTAAAGAGCCCGAAAGAGGGCTCGAGGGGCGCCATTGTGTGCAGGGGGAGGCGTGCAGCTGGGACGGTGACATAGGAAGTGGAGTGGGCAGGAAGAAGGCGCATAGTTACGTGGCACAAACAATTGGCGCGTCAGGAAGGGGGCTGTAACCAGGAAAGAATAATAGAGGAACAGGATCACTTGATCCGAATAATAGAGGAACAGGATCAGGCGCTCGAAACACTCAAGAAAGAGGTGGAAGCGCTGAAGAAGGGGGCGGGCGCCGCTCCCCCGCCAGGGGTGAAAAGGAGGGAGAGAGACGAGGAGGAGGAGGTAATGTCAAGTGCCATGAGACGCACGGAGGAGCTGGTGAACCTCACCCGACACATGGCGTCGGATTTTTGATGAGCGTAACAGATGGGCTCACAGTCGAACCGGGAGGCCATGGGGCGTGAGGCAACCGTTGGCGCGTGGTATCTTGGCAGAGCAGGTTAACTCGGTCATCCCAGCGCTTCCCAGCTATGACCGAACGTCTGATCCGGAAGATCACCTGAACAATTACTTCACCAAGATGCAACTCTACAACAGCTCGGATGTCACCTTGCGCCACGCCTTCCCTTCAACTTTCACGAGCGTGGTCCTTAACTGGTATCATCATATTGAGGAAGGAAGGATCGATAGCTTTGAGCAGTTTGCGGCAATGTTCTTCTCGAAGTTCTCTAGCCGGAAGCGCATAAACCTGACCATCAGCGCATTATTCAAAGTTAGGCAGCGCAAGGGCGAGGCGCTCAGCGATTTCTATTAGCGCTAGATATCTGTGGCCATGGCGGTCAAAGACGTCAAGCCCCCAGTCTTGGGGTGTTGCTTGGATGAATGTACCACGAGTGAGGAGTTGTGTAGAGCGTTGTCGAAGAGGTACGTGGTGTCCACGGAGGACCTGGACCGTAGGGTGCAAAAGGTCTTAATGCTAGAGGAAACTCTAGCCGCGAGGAGGATGGACCGTCGAGAAGCGCGGCCGGAGGAGACGGACGGCAGTAGGACGCCTCGAATGCCATACGTCCCGCACAATCCTCAAGTCTATTCTTTGAGCGTCCACCAGACCGATCCCCAACAGTTCACGCCGAGGGGAGCTGGGAACTTCACCGAACTCAATGACTCTCTAAAGAATGTCTTGCAGTATGTGAATGATAAGGGATACCATCTACGTTGGCCAGGACCCATGAGGGGGCGCCCGAATGAGCAGAACTTGGATAGGTACTGTGAGTTCCACTTAGAGAAGGGTCACCACAAGGTCGACTGTTACCAACTCAAGTCGGAAATACAAGGACTCGTGGACATAGGGATGCTGAGCGTGTTTGTGAGGAAAGGTGAAGACAAGGCACAGAGAACTTTCATGGCTTGAGAAGAAAAAGATGAAGCACTCTGGGAGAGCGCGCTTGAAGGAAAGATCATGCCTAAGGAAAGTGAGGCGCTGGGGGGGGGGGGAGACGTTGCTCCCACCCCCTTTGATGTTGAGTCAGAGTCGAACCCCGGCCATTTCAGGTTCAATTGATACAGAAGTTAGAGGAATGGAGGCGCTTGAAGTCAGCCTCCGCTAGCACGCGGGCAGCAATCCAGATCCATTTCAATGAGGCAACCGAGGAGGCGTGTTGAGTGTCGTCAGTGGAGGCGCAGGAGATCAGGGGAGTGGTGGCCGAATGCGAGGTGAAAAGAATGCTAGTAGACACGGGGAGCTCGATGGATGTATTGTTCAGGTCTACCTTCGACAAGATGTAGTTGTCGCCAGGCATCGTCAGACCAGCGGACACAGTTCTGATCGGGTTCTCGGGGGTGTCAGCCCAAGTCATAGGGCGTGTGCGCCTGCCAGTGACGCTGGGAGAAGAGGAACACAGAGTGACGCACACGGTGGATTTTGGTATTGTAGATTGCCCCTCCCCATACAATGCCATCTTAGGGCGCCTGCTCCTAGCACTTTTCAATGGGGTAGCGTCGTCATGTCATGAAGTGTTAAAGTTCATCACTCCGAAGGGGGTTGGGGCGTCGAGAGGGAAGCGTCCCAGGAAGCGCGTCTCGTCAAGCGAATGCGGATGTACAACATTGACGTGCGTCCTGAGGATCTGTCGAAAGGCGGCCTTGGCAGTCGTCGCCCTGGCGGAGAAGTTGCGTCCGTATTTTCAGGCGCACACGGTGACAGTGCTACCAACTTGCCCTTGAGAGGCATGTTAGGATCCATGCATGTGGCGGGACGCATGGTGAAGTGGGCAGTGCAGCTGAGCGAGTATGACATAAGGTATGCGCCTCGCCCGACAATCAAGACAAAGGTATTGGCCGACTTTGCAGCGAAAGGAGTAGCAAGTGAGGAGGGAGGAATGGATGAAAGTTGGCAAGTGTACATCGACGGAGCGGCCAGCTGAGTCGGAGCGGGGGCAGGAATAGTGGTCATCAACCCCACGGGCGCGATGCATGAGCTAGCGCAGCAATTTTCAGCGTTAAAGACAAACAATGTGGCGGAATATGAGGTTGTGATTGCAAGCTTGAATACAGCGCATGAGCTAGGCGCACGGAAGATTCAGGTCCGCTTTGACTCCACCCTGTGATAAACCAACTAAATGGTGTGTTCGAAGTGAACGAGGAGGCGTTGGGTGCATACATAAGGAGGATTGAGGATAAGCGTGCATGGTTTGATCACGTGGAATTCATACATGTTCTGAGAGAAGAGAATGCCCATGCGGACGCGTTGTCAAAACTAGCCACTGACTTTGAAAGTGAAAGGCATGTGATCGTCTCCAAGGAACACTCTCTGGAATAATTGGTAGTAGGGGCAATGGAGGAGGATGTTGTTTAAGAGGAGAGCTGGATGACTCCTATCAAAGCATATCTACTTCACGGGGCGGTTCCCGAAGACACCAAGCAAGCGTGGCAAGTGAGGCGCAAGGCTGCACATTGTACAATCCTTGATGGCCAATTATACAAAAGGTCACATTCATGAGCTTATTTGAGGTGCCTCACAGTGGGCGAGGGCGAAAAGGCAATACAGGAGATACACCCGGGTGCGTGCGGCATTCATGCAGGGGCGATGAGTCTTGAAAAGGTGTTGCTGCGTCAGGTTTACTATTGGCCATCCATTAGAGCGGATACCAAGAAACATGTGGATAGGTGCCACCAGTGTCAGATTCATGCTCACGACGTGCACGTCCCCAAGGCGTCCATGTAGGGTAATGTGGGCGCATGGCTATTTGCACAGTGGGGGGTGGATTTGTTGGGTCCGTTCCCTAAGGTGCCTGGGCAGTTGAAGTTCCTAATCGTAGCGGTGGATTACTTTTCCAAATGGTTTGAGGCCGAGCCCCTGGCTACCATCACCCAAGCGCAGGTTAGAAAGTTCATGTACAGGAATATCTTCACTCGGTTCGGGCTGCCATAATCGATCATAGCTGATCATGGCAAGCAATTCGATTGCCGATAGTTCATCGAAATCTGTGACGAGAAGGGCGTCATCCTGCGCTTCTCATCCGTGGCAGGCAGAAGCGACGAACAAGAGTATCCTACATGGTCTCCACACGAGGCTACTGGATGCCATGGGTGTAACACCCGACATTTGAATTTAGGTTCGACCATAATAAATGAACGGTTAGATTTATGGTTGCGTACAAAAAGCTCGAATAAACCTAACCAAGTTCGAGGATCAAGATCCAACTAATAAATCATGGGAATTTCTGAATTGGTAGCAACCATGGTTCAAAAAGCACGCTTAACCTTACGCTTAGGCACGCCTAGGCGCAAGTCAATGGCAAAACGCCTCGCTTAGGGGTTTCGCGCCTAATTAGATACTGGAACACGTCAATGGAGTAAGGTGACATATAAATCTCTCCCAAACATTACTAGATGGAGCTAGGAAGTCCATAATAAAATAGAAAATTACATCAACTACGAAACCAATTTTCTATATCAATATTTTCAATAGCTCAAGAACTTTGTGAGCTATTGAGCTATGATTCTATGAATTCATGAGCTATTGTTCTTTTCATTAAGTGTTTAGTAATTTATCAATCATTTTAACTTAAGTGAATAATTATTTTAGATTACGATTTTATTCATCATGCAGTGCAAATAACTATTTTTCTTGCAACGCCTAGGCACGCTTAGTCTATGCTTAGGCGAGCTAGGCGCTAGGAAAAGGCTCAATGCCCGCCTTACGCCTAGCGCCTTTTTGAACCTTGGTAGCAACAAATGGTGCGCTAGGCCCAAGGAAAAGTGAAGAGATGGGCTAGGGATTTATGACTAAACGATAGGCGAATGGGCTGGGGAAGGAGAACCCGCATGTTAGTACGAGCGGATGACATTGTACCTATATGTACGTATAAAGATCTAGGGTTATGGCCGCCGGGGGAAGTAGGAAACTGTTACACCCCGCCCTTCCCGAGAGTCAAAATGACTATTATACCCTTGAGGGAAATTGTCAAATTCCACCGTAATATGATAAGGACTAAAAATGGGAATTATCGGTTCAAGCGGTGTCGAGTTTCGACATTAAGCGAGGAAGTTACGGACGTCAATTGAATTTTGAATTAAACTCACCCGTAATTATGAAATTCTCAAATTACCACTTGTACTCATTAAACCCTACCTGACTCGGTTTCATCTGGACATTTATTTAAACCTAAACCTATACGCAAAAATACCTCCCCAAACCCTCTCCATCTCTCTCGCGCCCCTTCACTCGACGATAATGGCACCAATGGAGATGACGGATTGCCGAAACCCCACCGGAAGTGATCAGAACGGGAGTGAGCGGCGGCAGGATCTACTGCCGGCGCTCAAGGTTGACAAAGATGGCAGTTGTGGATCCGGTTAATTATTTCTTCCCGGCCTATTTGCTACGGGAGAAAGGCACGGCACAAGAAGATCGGAGCAAGGCGAAGCACATTCCGAAGGTAAACTGTCTCATTCCACCGAAGTTGCGCCGGCTTGGAGTTCCACGGCAGCTCCTCCGGCCAGCCTTCGAAAACAATGGCAACTTTTGTTCCTCCGAGCAGTGAATTACGGTGGGTTCATAGCATCTGTGGGGTGGTGGTAAAGGGATGCTGGGGCAATCTCTTGAAACCGAAGATTGACACGAATCTCACTGCAATTAGGCTCCGAGAGGTACTCCTGCAACTCTCTGCGTATAGCTACAGTCCCTGTCTTGCATGGGAGTTGTTCGGTGGATTGAGTCGTACATTCCGAATTATAAGCACCCCGTACAATCCTCATGGACTATGATACACATATTAACCAAGTACAAACACTTCAAGACTGCGCACCACCTGCTCGAGAAAATAGCTCACAAGGATTTCTTGTCGAGCCCTTCCGTGTTAAATGCTTTGGTGAGGAATCATGATGACCCGGATTCAATAGAGCCACGAATGGAAGAAGGTAAGAAGCAACCGCCAAGCCTCGTTTCTAAATTCTAATTAACGAAATTAGAAGTTGCAAGAGTCTTATGGTGGAAAAGTGAGTTAATGTGTTGCGAAGTGATTATATAGGGGTTGCTAAGTGGTTATATTGTTGCGGTTAAGGGTTATGCATGATGAATGTCCCATTGTAATGCATGAAGGGGTATGTATACGTGAGCATCTGTGGGTTTGATGTTTGGAAAAGGTGAGGAGGCGATTCTGGTAGTGTGATGTTTTGTCCCATGGGTCACCAAGACAAAAGGGTTTAATTTGCTAGGAAAGGTTTATGGTAGGCTGAGCTACGTTGATCATGAGATATCAAAGTGACGATGGTGTGGGTGGCTTAGTGTAGTCCTACGACGCAAGAAGGGATTGGTAGAAATTGATAAGGGTTGTGTACGTGGAAAAAATAACTTGGAGAGTTATGAGAGGATGACTTAGGTAATTGGTTTGGAATATTATGTAGGTTCATAAGCATACGAGCAATGTGGAACTCTCCTGAACAATGCTGGTGAGGCGTAAGGAGTTCATATTGATCAGGGGCTGCGATTACAAATTAAGGTGAGTGTAAAGGGGGTAAATTCTACGCCTTACGTATTTCTTTAAGTATTATGATTTTAAGTATTTTAGCGAATTGGTTACCGTTGTTTGATTATGTGTGTGATTGATTATTTGTGTCTTGCCTGAGCTCTGGTCATGAGTAAAGAGTTCATATTGATCAGGGGCTGCAATTACAAATTAAGGTGAGTGTAAAGAGGGTAAATTCTACGCCTTACGTATTCCTTTAAGTATTATGATTTTAAGTATTTTAGCGAATTGGTTACCGTTGTTTGATTATGTGTGTGATTGATTATTTGTGTCTTGCCTGAGCTATCATTTGAGGTGATTTTGTGTCATTTACCTTAAAGCGTGATGTTATAAGTTATCGTTAAAGTTAAGAGTCAAGTTCTTTTTCAAGAAGTAACTCACATTCAAGAAGGTGAAGTCGTTTTAAGTGTTCTTAGTCACTAGCGCCAGTCTGTTGCCATTGAGATTTTCAGATAGAGCAGCAGTTATGCTCTTGGGTTCTTTGAGACAGAGCAACAGTTATGCTCTTGAGACTTTTAAGATGGGCAGCAGTTATGCCCTTGAGAATCGTGGTGAAGAGCCACCACGATAATTTTAAGATGTTAGGGGGATGAATCGTTACGACTTCCCTAACTAAGTTTAAGTTTAAGGAAAGCCTGGATGGCTTCTCGTACGTATGAGTTGGCAACCGGACTAGCTAGTGAGGGATCCCCGTGTCAGTCAAGTATTTAAGTCGAGATTAGAGTTTTAAGAGAGGGGAGTAACTCCAACTCCCTCAAAGGTTAAGAGTTAAGATTTTAAGATTGGAAGTGAAACAACTTCCACTAGTCAAAGTTAAGTGTTTAAGTAAAGTACTCAAGTATTAGAAGTATTAAAACTTAAGGGCGTAGACTGACTCCAACTCACTCACCGATGATGACATCCCCGACGGAGTCAGATGTGGTTAAGAGGAAGAGGCCTTCCCACAACAGAAACAAAACCCATGAATTCGGTAAGTGGTCTTTTCTGGAACCTTGGAATTAAGGAGTACGTGGGTTTGATCATGCGGAAGCTTGCGGTACCCAATTAATTTATCAAGTGGAAGGGGTTTATTGATATTGCTTCTGGGAAGTGGTGGTCCATAAATGGGATTTGTTTAAACTGGTTCATCATTAGGTGGATAGCATTGATAAATTATGAACGTAGCACTTGTTATGAGGTGGTTCATAAGTGGAAGCTGGGAATGAATTTTAGCTGATGTGGTTCATAAATGGGCTTGTACGTGTGCATGAGTCCTGAGGGAGAATAACACAAGTCAAAGGCCACGGGTAGGGCTGCAAATGAGCCAAGCCGCTCGCGAGCAACTCGGCGTTCGAATCGGAAAAAACTCGTTCGACACTCGACTCGTTATTTAACAAGCCGGCTCGCGAGCCAACTCGTTAGTTAACGAGCCAAGCCTGAGCTAGACCATGCTCAGCTTGATAAGCTCGCGAGCTAGCTTGATTCGGTGGCTTGTCGAGCTAAGCTCGCGAGCTGCCTTGTTTTGAGCTTGTGGAAGGATGAATTACTCTTTTAAACATGAACATTGTCTTATAATACAGATGTGTATGAAATTTAGATGTTATTTCTAGTTTCTAGTGTTCTTTCTATCATTTAAATTCTTATGTTTATACATTTTTCCGGCAAAAATGATTTTAAATCGAGCTCATCTTGAGCCGAGCTTGTACTCAGCTTAACAAGCTATGTTAATGAGCATTTATCGAGCTCTACCGAGTCGAGCTCGAGCTAGATTATTTTTATTCAAGCCGAGCTCGAGCTCGAGCTGGATTATCAAAATTCGAGTTCGAGCCGAGCTCGAGCTGAAAAATTAATAAACGAGCCGAGCTCAAGCTAAGCAAAAACTCGACTCGACTCGGCTCGTTTGCAGCCCTAGCCACGGGTAAGAAAATCAAATAAGAAGAACGCTATCTTGACTGTGCATAACACGCTGGAGCATGCGAGCTAGTTGGACTGGCTGGAGCTAAAGTCGGACATTATTTCAAGTCAATCGATTGAGTATAAGGTGAGTGTAAATGGGGTAAATTATACGCTTTACGGTTTTCAAGTATTTGCCTTGAGTATTTTCGAGTATTGATTTACATGATTGCAGTATTTGATGCATGTTTGAGATTGCATGATTATAGTTGATGATGTGTGTCTTGTTTGAATTATGACTTGAAGTGAATGGTTATTATTTACTTTGAAATTTTATGAGTATAAGTTATTGTTAAAGTTTAAGAAACAAGTTCTTTTTAAGAAGTAACTCACCTTCAACAAGGTGAAGTCGTTTTAAGTGTTTTTAGTCGCTAGCGCCAATCCGTTGCCATTTGAGATTTTCATAGAGAGTAGCAGTTATGCTCTTGAGATCTTTGAGACAGAGCATCAGTTATGCTCTTGAGATATTTAAGTTGAGCAGCAGTTATGCTCTTGAGATTTTTAAGATGAGCAACAGTTATGCTCATGAGAATCGTGGAAGAAGAGCCTTCCATGATAAGTTTAAGTTTAAGGAAAGCCTGGATGGCTTCTCATACGTATGAGTTGGCAACCGGACTAGCTAGTGAGATTTTTAAGAGTTAAGATTTTTAAGAGTTAAGATTTTTAATTGTGGAGGTACAAAACAACTTCCACTAAGTTAAGTAAAGTGATCAAGTATTAATAAGATGTTAAACGTAAGGGCGTAGACTGACCACATCTCACTCGCCAGTTTGAAGATCTAGAGGAGGAGCTAGAGGAGCAGTTAGTGAGCAGCGAGTTCGAGGGCAGCCAGCTAGAGGAGGGCAGTATAAGCGTCACGAGGGATGCTTAGTCAAGGTTTTCAGTAGCAACAACATTAGAGATTATTAGTTATTTACATTTATGATTATGAGTACAGATTGGAGATCATTTTGAGATTTTAAGTATTGATTTTGGCCATGTGTTAGGGCGTTGCTTTAAACTACAAGTGTGTGTGTTTTCGGTATTTTATTTATGAAAATTTTTCCCGATGCAATTTAAGATTCGAGTATTTCAATTTATTATTCAAGGGCATTTTAGTAAAAGTAGTACACGGCTGGGTTAGGGTGTTACAAAGGGAAGATGGGTGGAAGAGCTCCCTGGTGTGTTGTGGGCGCACAGAACGACGTACAAGGTGGCGACCTGGGAAACGCCATTTGCCTTGACTTATGGCAGCGAAGCGGTTATACCAGTGGAAGTGCGCTTTCCCACACACAGGTTGGCAGGATATGATCCGCAACTCAATGAGGGGGGAGCGCATACACGACCTTGATATGCTGGAGGGGCGTAGGGATGTTGCGTCTGTGCGCCTTGGGTCTATGAAGCGACAGGTGGCCAAACACTATAATCGTAAGATGCACCCCCATAAGATACGTCTGGGGAGTATGGTGTTGCGGCGTGACTTCCGACCAAAGGAGAGCGAGGGAAAACTCGTGCCAAAGTGCAAAGGGCTTTATTATGTTAGTGAGGTGATAGGGCCGGCCACGTTCAAGTTGGAGAGCATGGCAAGGAAGGCCATCAAGCATACTTGGAACACTCAGATTAGAGGTAGAGGTACTACTACTGCAAGAGCGTCGTACCACGCGCCTTAAGTATAGAGGTAAGGGCGCTCGTATTTTGGTCGTGAGTTAAATATAGAGGTAAAGGTACTACTACTGCAAGCGCGCCGTACCACGCGCCTTAAGTTATGTTTGTAAAGCGCCCTAACATTTGCGCCTTGTAATTGTTTCACCAGTAATAGTAAAGCGCCCCACTTCGAGTGCCCTTACACGTGGTGGAGAAAAATGATGGTGTTCATTTGAATGTTCGGCTCCTATGAATGCACTAGAACGTAATGCGCCCTCTGACATCTATTCTCTCCCAGAGTCAGGACACGTAAAGAGCCCTCTAATATTTTGAGCCCGACAGGCGGTTTTGAAAAGAGCCTTAAAGGAACAAGACTGAAAGTTGATCGGATAAAAAAGAAAATGAGGTCAAATGAAAAGAACAGGGCTGAGAGTTAAGATACAAAATAACTTGGCTGAAAGTAAGATACAAAATAATAAGCAAGGTAGGTTGGGCGCCCCATCATTCCTCCTCGCTCTGAATAGTGCCCTCAGGCGTCCCCTGCGGCTCAACGGGGCGCCTTTCCTCGCCCTGCTGGTCCTCCTCATCCCCCGCAACGTCGTCATCCCCTGCGCCTTCGTCCTCCTCATCATCCGCCTCTTCATCATCCACCTCCTCGTCGAGCGCCTCATCTTGCGGCCGCTATCCATGAACTTGAGAATGTGCATAATCAAGGCCATGGAGTCCCACTCCACCTCGGGCTGGTCCTCACTGAACTTTTGTTGCAAGATTTTCAGCGTGTCAATCACGATGTCAACCTGGAGGTTCTTTCCCACCTCGCACTTGTGGTACTTAGCCAGATCCCGAGTGAGGCGCTCTGCTTTAATAGGCGACGCCTTTAGATCCTTCTTGTAATGATCCTTGGACTTTTCAGCCTCTTGGTCTCTTCAGAGATCTTGCGCGCTTTGGCTCGGAGCCCATCCGCCTCTTCCTGGAGCCTGTCGCGCTCCGTCACCAGCTCTGCCTGCCTATCACGCAATCCCCGCTCCACCTTCGCCATCTCCGCTTGGGTGGCAGCGGTTTGCGCCTCGTAGCACTCTACGTTTTCTCCACGACCGCCTTTATTTTCTCACGCTCCGCCTCCAGGCCGGTAGATAACTTGGCAGCCCAAGCATCAACCTCCTTCTGTGCCTCATCCTGAGCGTTGGCCAGGGACGCATGCTCCTCGCGCTCGGCAGCCAAGTTGTCACGAAGGCGCTCAGCAGTGGTGGCGGACGAGGCGCTTTCTTTGACCATCAGATCGAATTCACGAGCGGTGGACTCGATCGGCATCATCATCTGTCATATACACCACATAATAAAGGGTAAGTCAGTCTCGCAAACAATCGAGAAAAGCAATCACTAAAGTGCAGGAGAAAGGTCGCCTTACCTGCACTGTGAGGTTGACCATGTGACGTAGAGGCCAGTTGGTGTTGAGATGGTCGGGGCGCTCGATCACAGCAAGCATGGGACAACACCATCTGTATCGAGGCGCCTAGATCCTTCGCTGCCTTAACGTGCACACCAACGGAGACCTTCTCAAATGGGAGAGAAGGAGGTTGGAAGTAAGGGGGTAGCGTCTTCCCGGTATGCTCCCCAACGGTTGGCATGACGAGGCTGGCCGGCTTGCCTGAAGCCACCAGGTTGTCCAACTTGGCTTTCTTCGCGGCGGAATGGAGCGGCTCCGTGTGCCTCTTCCCGTCCGCCTTGGTTTGGGAGGGCTCTTTCGGCATCTGAGACATGGCTCCCTGGCTACGAGAAGATGACGAGGCGCCCTGTCAGCATCGGGGCCGATGGGAGAATGGTATGGAGCCTGAGGTGGTTCGGAGGCGGCAGGTGAAGGTGTCTGCTCGGAAGGCGCACAGCTCGACGACACAGTTGGTGAGGAGACAATTCTCACTCGCGTGGGCGCCTTGCGCTGGGGTTGGGACTTGGCCTTGGTGGCCTTGGTAGTCTTGGCGCGGACGCGAGGCGCATGAGGGATCAGGTTAAGCTTTGACCGAATAAGATCGGAGATGGAAGTGAACTCAGTCCTTGCAAGAAAAACGACGGAGTCACCAACAAGGCACACAAGGCGTATGAACAAATGTAAAGCGTATGGCAAGTCAGGCGCATGCAACTACCGTCATTGTAAAATTTCGCCAAGAGACGGGCGTACTCCTCGCTTATTTCAAGATTAATCGGCTCCGAAGCAAGGCGTCGCGCCATATCTTCCTCGGCCTTATTGAGGGCAACGTGCTTATTAAACTCGGCTTCATCACCAAAGGCCCACTATGTTAGGGGCGTTGCACCGCTTTCAAAGAAGGGCGTGTCGCACGGGCGGACGAATAAAAAAGATTCGAACCACGAGTGCCCCATCTGTTTACAGTGGCTAATGAAGTTGTATCCCAATTTGGGGCACCTTTGAAGGCAGAAGCAGCTGGGGCTTCGGATCATCACAAAGAAATGTCGGAAAAGTTTGAAAGAGGGAAGAATGTTATGTTGGTGACACTTGAAGTGGAAGAGGACAGTGTAAAGAATAATGACAGGGGAAAGGTGCCCGAGGGAACATTGGCATAAATGGAGTACGCCTTCGAGGATGGGGTCGATGGGGAAACGGAGCCCAAAGCGGGCGTACTCTTGGTAAACACCAATCCATTCCTCTCCACACACCCCCGCGCGCAACGGGTGATGGATGCGCATAACGCCAGTCAGCTGGCATCTGCGCGGCTTGGATTAATTTCGTGAAGCGCGAGTAGAGTATCTTGGACGTGTGCGGAGGACCGGCGTCTTCCTCCGACATTCGGTCAATATCGTTGGACATGTACCCAGGAGACCACATGTTGCCCCATTGCCGTATCACGTACTCTCGAGGCACACCAGTGCCTAAGTCGGAAGAAGATGACGAGGTCAAGAAAGGGCTAGTGCAAAGGGGGAACGCTTTTGAGAAGGGCGCTCAAGCAAGAGGCGTGGGAGCTCAGAGAAGGTAGAATTTAGGAGTGACTTTTCTCTCAACCCTCACGACACGTGACTTGCATAAATAAGGCGCATGAGATCAAGATTTTTCGCATAACGAGAAGTGGAGAATGGGGAGCACCTGAGGCGGTGGCAGGGGCATCGGAGGGCGCAGAGTTGGAAGCTCCGGGTTGATTGGAGGAAGACATTCTAGATGCGTGTAGGCAGTGGGAGGAGAAAACACACAGAAGCGGAAAGCGCCTGGTCACAGCTAGCGAGAGGCTTGAGAGCAAGGCAACTTAGAGAGAGAAAGTAGAGAGATAGTGTTTTTTTGCATAATGAAGAGAGGGGAAGTAGTGGGGGGCAATATATAGGTGAGGGAAGAGGGGGAGAGAGAGCATAAGCGGGAAGGCGAACGGTCGCCTAGTCTGAAGAAAATTCAAAATTCGAAATTCGAATTATCCTTAAGACTTGGGGGGATGGTCCCAATGGTCGAAATTCAAAATTCGAATTATCCTTCAGACTAGGAGGGGGGAATGGTCCCAATGGTCGAGGCGGAAGCCCAACAGTTTGTCTGCAATAAAGGAAAGAGAAATAAAAAAAAGTAAAGAAAAGTAAATAATAGGGGAAAGGAAAGGAAGGGGTGGCGCTTGATCAACAGGAGGGACGGGAGTCAAAGCGCGGGCGGATGGAAAGTCAGGGTGTAGGCGCATGCTGCGGGAATGGACCGTTAAGGAGGCGCATGCTTCTGAAGGAAAGAATGAAAAGAAAGCGTTCATAATGGACCGTGGAGGCGCTTAGTGGCACACTTAGGGAAGTTAGGCCCCTACAGGGTGGTATGCTCCTAACTGGGGGGGCAGTTGTTGGGGGCATATAAGGGCTCAAGAGGGAAGCCCAAAAGGCCGGATTGGCCCTGGAATGCGGGCCCAACAAAGGGAAAGCCCAACCCAAAATGGGCCTTAGGCTATAACCTATGTGTTGGGGTCGGGCATGACGTAGGGCGCATGGCGAAAAAGGTAGCAATGGTCAGAAGCGTACGGAGTGGACCAGGAAGTGGGGCCATGCGCCTTGGGGCCCTGGGCGAAGTGTCAGAATGTCGAGGCGCCTGACAAGGGTGAGGTGCAATGCATTTAATAGTGTGATGACGTGGGGCGGATTTGGGGGGCAATGGTCGACCTCTACCCTGGGTATAAATAGTGAAGTTGGTGGAGCTCATTTACTTAGGTTGGATCTTCTCTCTAAAATTACTATTCACTTCTCTCTCTAAAAGCGGTGGTGCTAAGTTGGGCGTCGGAGTGCTAACAAGCCCGAAAGAGGGATCGAGGGGCGCCTTTGTGTGCAGGGGGAGGCGTGCAGCTAGGACGGTGACATAAAAAGTGGAGTGGACAGGAAGAAGGCGCATAGTTACGTGGCACAAACAGATATCCATTATACCATTTTAACATGTGAATTATTATAAAATACAATAACATATTTAGCACATTTTTCAATACATTTTTTTCTCACATTGTCACATATTTATTTTAGAATAAACAATATGTTCTTCTATTATTTCTATCTTTTAAATTTCCCTTTTCTCTAAAATGTTTTATTACATATTCATATTCTTTGTCCTTTTCGGAAACAGAGTCGTTGGGTATAAGCAATTCGAGCGCAATCCATTAACTGCGGTTCGGTGCATCTATCAATTTTGATTTTTTGTTTGCAATTTTTGTTTTTCTTCTCTCTCCAGTCCGCACCAGAATCGACATTATTATTTTTATCATATTTACTCTTTTTCGTCGTCTTCCGTTCCCGGTCGTCCTCTCTCATACATCAAAGTCAAACAATAACCCTTTGCGCATTTACACTTACGCTGTTCCTTCTTCTTCACTTCCATTGGACCGCTCCGCTCCGCTCCAGCCATGTTTTAATTCTCCATCTCTAAACAAATATAATAATATATCGCATCCGTTCATTTATACATTCTTATACTCTGGATCCTGATCTGAACCCTACCCTCCACCACCGGAGCAGACACCGCGCAGGAGCTCTGCTTCGGCGATCCCCAACCCTACCCTACCATATATTTATTATTATGTGCATATATGGGGTTCATTAGTTCCTTCCCACCTTTCCCATATCTTTGGCGTAACATCGTAAGATTATGAAAAAATCCCAGTTCTGATTTTGTTTAGTTTTCCTTTTCTTCCCTCTCGGGCCGCCTCGCTAGGTTCTGTTGTGTGTTTTTCCGCAGACCACAGGGTGAGTGTTTCTTACCTCTCCCGGCTTTTACTCTACTGGGTTCGGTTCTGCATTCAATTTGAGGCCGGGTGTAAGCATGCCCTTGGTTTGCGTTGTATTTGCTTCTTTTTCCCTGGATTTGTGTAGGATCCTTTTTACTGTTATGAGTTTCTGATGGGTTAGGGATTGGCAATGTTTAAGAAGGAGGGAAAATTTTCATGAATAGAGAACCTGATGGTATTGCATAATTGGCTTGTGTAGAACCTGATGGTATGACGAATCGATCCAGGCGTGAATGTAACTTTAAAAACTGATCCTCTCCTTACCATCTTTTGGCTTGAACTTGGAACCAGACCATGTTGGAAAAGGAGTTTTTCACCGAGTATGGCGAGGCAAGCCAGTACGATATACAAGAAGTGGTTGGGAAAGGAAGCTATGGGATTGTTGCATCGGCTATAGATACTCACACCGGGGAGAAGGTGGCCATCAAGAAGATGAACAACGTCTTCGAGCATGTCTCTGATGCCACACGCATCTTGAGGGAGATCAAGCTACTTCGCTTGCTTCGCCACCCAGATATAGTGGAGATCAAGCACATAATGCTTCCTCCATCCCCAAGGGAATTTAAAGATATCTATGTGGTTTTTGAGTTGATGGAATCTGATCTTCACCAGGTAATTAAGCTGAACCACGATTTGACTCCTGGTCATCACCAATTCTTCTTGTACCAGCTTCTTCGAGGTCTAAAGTATATACATTCAGGTAAATTTCACGTTTCTTCTTGTTACCCCCTTCACTTTGTACTCGTGAGTTTCTCTGCTTTCCTTGAGATGGATGTTCTAATCGCTCCAACTGGTGAACAATTTATGCGATGATGACAGCTCACGTCTTTCACCGAGACCTGAAGCCGAAAAATATTCTGGCCAATGCAGACTGCAAGCTGAAACTTTGTGACTTTGGGCTTGCTCGTGTGTCATTTAGTAATGCCCCTTCCGCTATCTTTTGGACAGTATGTGTCAGCTGGACTAGTGTTGTTGGGATATACTCCGTAGCTCTGTCTCTTCTAATTTTCTGCTCCGTATCTGTGCAGGATTATGTGGCAACCCGATGGTATCGTGCCCCGGAATTGTGTGGCTCCTTTACTTCCAAGGTTTGCATATGGATACTTCTGAAACTCAACATGTTGTTACTTAACTGTACTCTTGTGAGTTTGTGACTAGGATTAGGATAATTTCCCGTCACCTGTGTGCATTTCTTGTGTGGTAGCGATTGATCATTGAATAGGATTAGAACTTACAAGGAACCAAATACATTGTAAAGATCTGCTTTTGGATTGCTACCTAGTTGCTCTTGTTGACCTTATTGTGTTTGCACTTGTGTTTCATTTTTCACAAACGCACTTTGTGTTCTAGATAGTAGATACATACATTTTGTAAATGCAAGCTTTTGCATTTATTTATCAAGAGAACTAACAATCATTGATTGCTTTTTCTTGGAGTAGATTGATGTGCCGTGTAGGTAGGATATTGTATGAAGACAGCAATTGATTGGAGCAGCATTCAGTTGAGATATTGAAGGGTTTCTTCGCTTTTTTCTTCTTCTTTTTTCTGCAGTACACTCCTGCAATTGATATATGGAGCATAGGATGCATATTTGCGGAGTTGGTAACAGGCAAGCCCTTGTTTCCTGGGAAAAACGTGGTGCATCAATTGGATCTCATCACTGATTTGCTTGGCACTCCTCCTCCTGCTACCATTGCACGGGTTTGTTATCTGCTCTTCTGTCAATTTATCTGGGGTGTACTCACTATAGAATTGTGCTTGATTTTGAGCAGTAAAAACTTCTTTTGCTGTATACATTGTGATTGGTGTTCCAGATCGGGAATGAAAAAGCTAGGAAGTATCTGACTTGCATGAGCAAAAAGCAACCAATCCCATTCACCAAATATTTCCCCGGAAAAGACCTAGCGGCTCTTCGGTTACTGGAGCGCATGCTAGCATTTGACCCTAAAGATCGTCCATCTGCTGAAGAGGCAAGTCTCCTTTTTCCCCGTTAAACTAAACTATTATATGCTTCCTGCATTTATATCTTGTAGAATAGATTGTGGCTTGCTGGTTTTGCTTCTTCCGAATATTTTGGGTTGACATCTATCATAATCATCAGCATAATCCTCTGTCTAGGCACTGGCTGATCCATACTTCCATGGCCTGGCTAATTTGGAGAATGAACCAACTAGGGTACCCATTTCAAAACTGGAGTTTGAATTTGAAAGGAGAAGACTGACACGAGATGATGTAAGACAATTAATCTACAGAGAGGTACGGCAATTTCATGCTCTTTATATTTATGCTTTAAATTCTGTGGATGTTGTTGCTCTCCTCTGTTGCTCCTCGGCGACTTAACTTATAAATCGAATAGATCTTGGAGTACCATCCTGAAATGCTAAAAGAGTACCTCCGGGGCATAGACCAGACTCACTTCGTGTATCCTAGGTAAGTTGAAAGCTTCAGGACGGTAAAGTACTTAAGTTGTACGCCTACAACTTGTCTTACCTTCTTGCACTTTAATGATCGTAGCATTACATTATAATTAGTCTTGTACTCATTTGGTTCCCTCTTGGTGGGTTGTGTGCCAAAATCTGCTGTATTTTTTCCATATTTGGGTAGGCACAGCTAGCTGTATAGATTAACACCGGGTCAATCTTTCTCTTATCAGCGGAGTTGACTGGTGCAAGGAACAGTTTGCTTGTCTGGAGGACGAAAATGGCGATATAATTGAAAGAACCAGCCCAGTACACAGGAAACATGCCACTTCTTTGCCAAGGTTTGTGTTAAGCGAAAAGTCCTCTTCATTGGTGTTCTTTGTGCTGTTCTTCTCTCTTATAATTTGCTCTTCAATGTTCTTTCAATGTTCTTTCAGGGAAAGGGTGTGCACCATTGATGACCATGATGATCCCAAGAAGGGGGGCTGTCACTGTTCTCATGGTTGTGCTGATAATGCAAATCCGAATTCCAGTTCTGTTTCTCGTCCAGCGACTGTACAGAGCCAGAGCCCTCCTTCACTACCAGCTGAGGAATCATCGCTGCCGCCTTCTGCTAACAAAAAGAGTAGCACATTATCCAAACAGAGCAGCAGCGGCAACCCCATCACACCAACTTGCAGCAGTGGGTGCAGCCTGCTGAAGAGCGACAGCATCTGTGCATCCATGTGTGTTGGTATCGTTGGAAAAGATCGGTAGGTTCATGCTCGGTGAATTTGACAGATGGATGATGACGGTGTTGCCGCTACATCTGGAATTTGGAAGGCGGGTCGTAATTCCTCCAGTTTTTATTGCTTGATGATGATGACGATAAGGTTACTGATGTTTGCATGTAATTGTGGGTACATTGTGATATCTGTTTTGTACTAACGAGCAACCGTTCTGTATTCTGGTTCTTCGATTTGGAAATACTGGGATTGTGCTTATGGGGCAGCAAGTGCAAAAACCTCCTCTCCGTAGCCATTTGATTTGTTTTCTTCGGTCGTTAAAGGAAACCAAGAAACAAAACTAATCACAGCAATTTTTTCAGAACGGAATGGAGTATGAGCTAAATAATCTAGAGGAATGAAAAGATTGAACCACAGACACAATAGTAGAATTGTAGACTTAGGGTTGTTTGAAAGTTGCGAATGTTTCTTTGAGATTGTTACTATACTCGAATTGTTTAGAATCCATCGTTTTTTTAGCAGACACAATACATGGATTGTTTCTGTGATGTGATAGAAACTATCATTCAAAATTAGTGTTGTTATATCTTAGTTTTTAGGCTTTAGCTGTGATTGTTGAGATTGTTTTATTTCAGGTTTTAGTGGATGTGACATCCACAATCACACATACCAAACGCTATATTTTACAATGCATCAAACTCGTAAATACATGTATAATATTATACGTGTATCTACAACAATACATCTATTTAACAATTACAACTTCCAAATGACCCCTTGTTGGGGTCCAAGATAGGGTCAGTAACCACTGGTTACTGACCCATCAGTAACCACACGGGAGTTGTAGGATTGGGAATGGGGAAATCGTGTGGCTGGGCTGGATGTGGGGTGGGGAGGGGCATTTTTGTCCGTTTTTGTATTTTTAATTTTTTTTATTCATTCCGCATTTCAATGGCTGACTTTTCAATGAAATAGAGACAATGCATTTTCTCTGCAACTCAACTTTCTTCCTTCTCTCTTCTTTTCTTTCAATCTCTTTCCAGATCCTTTCTCTTTCTCTATTCCTTCTCTTTTACTTTTTCTTTCACAATCTCCTTTTCAAATTTAGATCTGCACTCTTCCTTCTTCATTTTTTTTCTCTAGCAATCGACGAATAAAAATTGTAGCCACTCTCTTTCTTTGCATTTCTTCTCTTCATCAACTCGTTGGCCTCAATTCCGATCTTTCTCATTTTTTTGGCATTTTGGTGTTCTTGATTGAGGAAGAGGAAATGAGAGGCATCAGAGGACGATTTTTTCTCTCCCTCTTTTTTTTTTCTTTTAGATAATATATATTGATATTATGACTCTATACCATATGGTATTGGGTGGTAACGAAATATATATTGATATTACCACACTATACCCTATGGTAATGTATGGTATTGCGTGGTAACGAAATATATATTGATATTACCACTCTATACCATATGGTATTGTGTGATATTACCATACTATACCATATGGTATTGTGTGGTAACGAAATATATATTGATATTACCACACTATACCATATGGTATTGGGTGGTAACGAAATATATATTGATATTACCACACTATACCATATGGTATTGGGTGGTAACGAAATATATATTGATATTACCACACTATACCCTATGGTAATGTATGGTATTGCGTGGTAACGAAATATATATTGATATTACCACTCTATACCATATGGTATTGTGTGATATTACCACACTATACCATATGGTATTGGGTGGTAACGAAATATATATTGATATTACCACACTATACCATATGGTATTGGGTGGTAACGAAATATATATTGATATTACCACACTATACCATATGGTATAAACTGGTAATAACTGGAAAAAATTTTTGTGTCCAAAAAATATCAAAGTGGATACCATTTTGAAGAGCATAATTAATCTGATCTAACTGTGCAAAAAATTAAATTTCGACTTAAAACGAGTGAGAAATCGTCCGTTAAAGATTAAGAGAAGGAAAATTAAAGGTTTTTCGATGAGGAGAAGGAGGTCCTGATGTGGTCGGTCAAAAGTCAGCGCGTCAGCAATAAATAGGGGATAAGTGCATTTTACCTTACTGCACTTTAGCATTTAATTTAAATAAAAAAGTAACTGACACGTGGAGAGAGGAGAGAGGGTTTACTGATGGGTTACTCACCCATTAGTTACTCACCCGATCTGCTCCCCCTTGTTGGGAGCTGAGAAGAGACGAACTTTGAAATCCAATTCAAAACGTAGAAGATAAGAGCTGATTAAGAAAAATAAAAAGCCATAAATTATTCAACCCTTATATCTGGGGCCCACTTAAAATTGGGGGTAGGTTGGACAGTACAGGGGAAGCCGAGACACTGCGTGGTGTTTTTGTGGACAATACAGGGAAAGTGACGGTGGAATTAAATCAAACTAGTGGATTGGGGGAGACGCGCGAAGCGTTGGAGTTAGGCATGGCAATTGGGACTCAAAGTTTGGGTGTTATCCAAATCTAGCTTATTATGGATCAAATCAAGTTTGGATAATTTTTCTTTTGGGGTATACCCATACCCGATCTCTTTGTTTGGATCTAAATTGGACCCATAGAAGTCCAAAAGAAAATGGGTACCTAGTTGTACTACAATTTTTTTTCTGTTATGAAAATAATTGAAAGATGGAAATACCTACATTAAATGTGTACAATTAGGTTGAAAGTAGTTAATGAATGGTTGATATTGTTTTTGTGTATATAATCATCTAGATCCAATAAGATCCATTTGGGTTAACCCATACCCAAAATCATTGAAAGTGCCTATGAATCCATTTGGGTCTGACCCACTACCCATATGGATTATAACATTTGGGTCTAACTACTCAATGAGTCTACCCATTGTCATGTCTACTTGGAGAAGTGGGAGAGAAAGAGTTCTGGAAAATACAAGAGAGATTCCTAGGCAGAGGGATGGAGGAAGAGAACTCAATCTTCTTATCTCAGCTTCCCTTGCTTCAAGGATCTAAATACTTATGGAGGAATGATTGTTTGGTACACTTGGGCTCTGATAGCCGCATGCATAAGAGGGATTGGCTGCAATCTGATCTCCCTGATTCGGTTCTCAGAGAATGAAACAAAGAACGGGTCTGGAGTGACGCCCCCTCTCTATACTTAAGGTAAGCTTAACATTTGGGTGGGGGAGGGAGATCAAAGGGGTGGTGGTGGAAAAAGATCGAGGAGAAAGAGAGAGAGAGAGAGAGAAAAAATAGAAGTGAAGTGATAGATGATGGTGGATAGGTGGAGATTAAAAATGTAAACAAATCGTTATAGAAAAAGGATTTATTTTTCATTCTAAATTAGAAAAAGTAAATGTTTACACACTAAAAATCTTGATTTAAGAAACGTATGGGTTGGTCCAACCAGAAATACCATATACCTGATTCTAAACTTTAAGCGGTTTTAGCGGTACAAAATGATAAAACCACGATTTAATACAAAACAATCTATTACTAACCTTTTTCAGTATAATGTCCCGTACAGTTTCACAATAATTTCTAAAAAGTAAGATTGACGTATAGTTTCACAATAATTTCTAAAAAGTAAGATTGAGACTCTAATTGAGAATGGTTTACCGAGAGATCATGTGTTCGAATTTTGGAGACCCCATTTGTAAAGCACATGATATTCGGATTTGCGAAAAATTTAAACACATATTAGTTGGTTTTCTTTAGCGGGAAAGTGGTAGTAACTGGTCTTGACGAAAAACATTGTTAAATAGCATAAGTCTATTATTAAATCTTTCACAAAAACTTGAGTTATCGGTACTAAATGGTCTTGACGAAGAACACCATTCAAAAGCAAATGTCTAACTAAATCATTAATAATTGGTTGATATATATAGAGTGATATTCTTGAGAGTTTCGAACTATAATTAATTTACCAAATATTTGTAAATACAAAAGTATATCATGAATTATTTAAAACGCTAACAAAACTATTTTATCGTATTTTTTTATAAATGGAACCACCCTCGACAAAATCCTGGCTACGCCCCTGTACCTAGGGATACCTTTAGTTGCAGGAGAACTAACAACTGCTGATTGTAGAGCTCTGATAGACACAATAACTAAGAAAACTCAAGGCTAGAAACCACACCTTGTTTCTTAAGCAGACAAACTTCAGCTTACAACCTCACTTTAGCAAGTATTACTTAGTATTGGATGAGAATGGTTCATATCCCTAAGAAAATAATTGGAGAAATAGAGATGCTCTGCTCCAAATTCTTGTGGAATGATGTTTCATCAATAAAGAAATCCAAAGTCTTGTGGGATTTGGTGGGTCTACCAAAAGTTGGAGGTGGCTTGGAGTTCAAAGATATGAAAAGCTGGAATAAGGCATGCTTGCTAAGACATCTATGCGCTATCATTGTAGACCAGAAAACCCTCTAGATAGTCTAGATGAAGGAGTATAGACTCAGAAATCTAGACATTTGGAAAGTTTAGACCAATGTGTTGTGGGTTTGGAATAAAGTATTCATGCTTAGACATATGACAGTAGGGAAATAACAGTCTTCCAGGACATGGGTGCAATGGGAAGGACAAAACCCTATCTAAGTACACAGTTAAAACTGAGTGGGAGAGTATCAGACCTGCAAGAGACAAAGTAACCTAGTCAAAATTGGTATGGTCAGGGCCGCAAATCCCCAAGAACTCAATCTTGTCCCGGTTTATCATGATTGACAGAATCACCACTTTTGATAAAATCAGAAGATTGAATCATGAAATCAATGATACTTGTTTGTTATGTAACCGGGCACCCGAATCTAGAAACCACATTTTCTTTGAATGTTTATACACGAAGCAAATCATGCAGTTAGTCCTTCCTTTAGAGTTAGTTCGAAGTTTGGGAGGTGAGTGGCACCTTGCTATTAGCACAATGATACAGAGGTTGAATGATTTCACAGTTCCCTATATGTTTTCCAACTTTCCTATATTTTTTTTACGAAATCATGTATAAACGGTTATAAACGGGAAAATCCTGTGCATAACTCTATATTTTTTTTTGTTACCACCCACTCTTCTGGAGAGCGTTTAATATTTTCCCTTTGAATCTTTAACGTATGATTTCTCTCTTGTTTTAAGTTGGAATTCAATTTTTTTTACACAGATTAATTATGCTTTTCAAAATGATATCCACTTTCATATATTTTTGAAACAAAAAAATTTGAAACAAAAAAATTGATATTTTTTACTAGTCTATACCATAGTGGTATTGATTGGTATTAAAATAAGAACTAACAATAGCTTAGTTTGGCCCTGTTGTAGCTTTTGCAGAAGCAACTTCTTGCTGGAGCTTTTAGATAAGTACTTAAAAAAAAGCAGTTGAGTGTTTGGATGTAAAACTATTAGAAATGTTTTTTAATAAAGAGGTTGTGTAAAATGACTATAAAAGACTTATAATATAAAATATGAATAAAAATTTTAAACAATAAAAAGTAGTCAAAATTGATCTTGTTGGATTTCTTTTATATTAAATAATATGATTTTATAATTTATTTTATTTTTAAAATGATGTAAATGATGAAAAAATTATATTTTCTGAACTAAAATTAAAATATGGTAATGATAATCTTGTATTTTCAAAATAGCTTTTCGCAGAAGCTCCAAATCGGAGTTTCTGCTTTTATGTTATACAAAATCACTTTTTGGCTTTTCAAAAGCCGAGCTTTTAGAGGTGTTTGGCTCTGCTTCAGATTTTGAACTCGAAAAGCACTTCTAAAAGCCGGGGCAAACATAGGGAATATGGTATGAACAATGTACCATGGTGGTATGAACATACAAAGACTGTAGGATAGTTGAATACATGATTGTAGGAATGTACCAACTGTCATTTACAACTTTCAATATTGTGTAGCACAAGATATCACCCTCGTACCACGGTGGTATTATATGTTATTTTTTGGTCTTGTATTTTGTTCACCCAGAAATTTGTATATCCAATAGATCATGATAAACTCGTTCATTCTGTTCAGAAAATTTAAAAAATGACTTAAAAACGAAGGATACCATGTTGTATGGAGTTGGTAATGAAATGTATGAATTTTTTTTCACAAAATATAATGAATATGGATCTCATTTTGTAGAGCACGACGAACTCGTTTTATCTGTGAAAAAAAAATGATTTCTTTTGTGAAATGGTTTGAATGATTTGTTAGATAATTTGGTGATGATATGAATATGAAATTGTTTATGGTCAATAATAATTTTATTGTTAAATTAGTGTAATATAAAAGTTTGAATTGGATTCTGTTTTGTGTGGCACTAGGAGAGAAGTGTCCTTGTCTTATGCAGCAACTAAAACCGAGAGAGAAAAGAAAAATGAAAGAAGCATCCTTGTTGCACAGGGCAGGTTAATAAATTATTTGGGCAATTAAATTAAGCAGGGGGTTAGGGTTTGTAGGTAGGTGGTGAGTTTGAGTTGAAAAGAAATTAATCAAGCAAGCAGGTTGGGAAATAGATCGATCGATCATGTCGGACGTGTTTGTGTTGGGAATGGGTTGTTTGCTGGGTGCCGCCAGCCTGACCTTGTTTTACTACGCCGACCGCGCAAACAAGGATGCTCAGTTTCTTACCTCTGCCACAAGGCTCACCCTCAACCAATTGGGTGGGTGATATACATGCCTTGATTTGTTTGTTTGTTTTATGATGAAGAATTATAATTCGTTACTTGTTTGTTTGTTTGCATGCAGCCAAACTATATGAGGAGGACAATAATGAAGATAGAGCAGCCGAAGCTGGGATAGTTGCTGTATCGGGAAGAGTTGGATCCTCACAGCCGATGGGTTGCAAGTTAAGCGGCCTGCAAGGGGTTCTGATGGAGGAGAAGGCAAACCGCGACCTGCTTCATCCCAATTTTTGTGTCAAGCTTGTCTTTTCATGGTATGGTAATCCTTTTAATTTGTTTGCGTGTGTGTGTGTGTGTTTAATTAATCAGGTGGAACTGGTGTTTAAAAGGAAGAATCCTGAGGATGGGTCTTGGATTCCAGACTCAACCTTGATGCGATCCACCACTAGGAAAGAGGTGTCATGGTTCCTGGTAATTAATTTTGCATGCATGGTTTATTATTTCTTGGAGATTCGGAGCTCAAGTAATTAATATTGGCTGTGCAGGATGACGGAAGTGGTGCGGTTGTGTACGTTGGCGGCGCCCGTGGTTTCAGTTTTCCAGTGGAAAGGGAAGCCTTTCACAAGTATCCGCCCACACGCTCTGCTCATCAGTTTATCAAGGTTGGTTGATTCATTTATTTGTACGTTAACGTTGGTCTTGCTGTAATTTTTACATATATACACTAGCTCGATCGATCGTAATCACTAAGACTAATAAGAGTATTTCTTTTCAGATGATCGGAGTGAAGCGAACAGTGAGGCTACTCCCAACTGGCACCTCATTAACTGTAGTCGGCAAGGCCGTGAAAGATGAACATGGGAGGATCTGGATTCAGCCTTCATCAGGCCGCTTTTATGTATTTCCAATCACCATTGATCAACTCATTGCCTACCTGCGACAGAGTGGAAGGTACCAAACGTAACCAACCCTTTAGTTTTCTATCATTAATAATTAAATTAAATTAAATTTAACACTAGTGTTTGTGAGCTAGCTAGCTTTAAGAAAATGTTTGTAACTCAACAACAAGTTATGATTGAAACTCTAATTGATTGCGACCAACCCAACCTTTTACTGTTGACAGGCTGTTCAAGAAGCTTGCTCAATTCTTGATGCTGTCTGTTGGTCTTGTGCTTGTCTTGGGGAGCATAACCGCAGAGACAAAACACGATCCACAGACTCACACCACCGCAGAGGCAAAACACGATCCACAGACTCACACCACCACCGCAGAGACAAAACATGGTCCAGAGACTCACACCACCGCAGAGACTAACCTTTACGCAGTTCCATCAAACCCTAACCTTTATGCGGTGCCTTCCAATCCTAGCCTCTATGCAGTGCCATCAAACCCCAATCTTTATGCAGTGCCTTCCAATCCTAACCTTTTTGCAGTGCCTTCAAACCCTAATCTTTATGCAGTGCCCAAGGCACAATTCAGGACAATGATTAGTTAGTGACTCAATTTTCTAGAGAATGATTTTTGGTGGAGGCTTGGTAGCTACAATACTACTACTTTAAATGTTTATGTATATTTAATATAGGGATAATAGTATTTTATGCCCTTCTACTATTGCAACTTAACAAATGTACCCTTTATAATATGGATTTATGCACAAATTTGCCCTTCAATTGTGAGCATGTAACTAATGTGCCCTTTTACCAAAACTTCCATCAATTGCCCGTTAAACAAAACGAAAATGACAAATTTACCACTCATTTGTTATATATTAATTTAATAATTTCCTGAAAGAAAATCAATAATCTAATTCGTTTTGTTCCTCTCCTTCTGTTACGAGAATGCCTCATCACTATAGGTGTCAATCGGGCGGGTTCGGGCTGGGTTCAATCGGGTTTGGGTTAGTCGGGTTGCGGGTTCATCGGGTTCGGGTTCATCGGGTTCGGGTTCAAACGGGTTGCGGGTTAGTCGGGTTGCGGGTTCATCGGGTTCGGATTCAATCGGGTTGCGGGCAAATCGGGTTGCGGGTTCATCGGATTTTGGGTCGGGCGGGTTGCGGGCGGGTCGGGTTTCGGGTTGTTCGGGCCAGCGCATCAAGTAACTTAACTCATTACTCAGTACCAACTTACACATTTTATTACACTAATTTAAAATATTTTCTCAACTTTTTAACCAATTTATTTCTACCTCGTATATATATACTTTATTTTTTTGAAAAAAACTAGTCAAAATGTTAAATCAATTTGTATGACTTGCAAACTTGTTATGTAATTAATCATAATTGGTAAAGTATTATAGCTAATAGTAATGGTGATATCAATATTTGCAACCAAAAGACACCGTTAATTGTTTATTTGATATTTTAGTATTAATTCAGTAGTAATTGGATTAAGGTATCTCGTTTAGTATAACCATGCAAATCTGGTATTTGGCAAAAGCATAGTGATAAAAGGAGTTATTTCAAAATAACTCATTGCCCAAATAACTTTAGTAAACTGTTGTCAAACGAGTTATTTGTAAAATTGTTCGAATTATCCTAAAAATTGAACCATTAAAGATTAGCTATCAAATTTAGTAAAATTATTATGACTTCAATCATAACTTACTCAATAGCATATATCCTATACACTTAGCTTTACCCTCAATCAACAATATTAAGTTAGTATATGTTGTTGATTGTATACCCTAAACCATCAATACATTATACACTAACCACAAAACCTATACCCTAACCATATGTCTTTGAGTTGTGATTTTGCTAGTATAGTTAATTTAAAAGTGAAATTCATACTTTGATTTTCAAAACATAGATAAAAAGTGATATTTGCTAATTGTTATACCCTAACCATATATCCTATACTTTACACCACATACCTTGTACCCTAACCACGTACCATAAACATAAATTAAAAAGGGATCTCCTGCCGTTAAAGACTTCAAATGACTTCAAGTGAACATATGTTAATAAAAAACTTAGAACCGTCAAAACCATCAATATCTTATACCCTAACCATATACACCCTAAACCATATGTACCTTATACCTTATACTCTAACCGTATACTTTATATTCTAAACAACGAACCGTCAAAGATTACTTATCAAGTTTAGTATAAATTGTTGTAACTAATGCTTAATTTATTTACTAGCCCATAAATAATTACATACATATATACATATTAGCCTTCAAAACATATAAGAATAATTTTAACTAGTCATGTCCTCCATATAAAAGTTAAAGATTCATATTTGAAAAGCTAAAATTATGAAAAACCAAAGAATTGAAGACACCAAATTTGTGTCCTTCTTTCTTTTCACAAAAATACTAAAATTTTCCTCCTTCTTTCTCCTTCCATACATTAGAAAAACTCAATTTTCCCTCCTCTTTCTCTTCCATAAAATTGAAAGAACCAAATTACCCTCTTCTTTCCTTCTACAAAAAGTTGAAAAGTCAAAAGTTTCTCTCCTTATTTCTCTTTCATAATCAAAAGAATCAAACTTTCTCACTTCTTTCTCTTCCCACATATCAAAACCACCAAAATTCCCACTTGTTTCTTTTCTAAAAAATTCAAAGAACCAAATTTCCCTCTTCTTTCTCTTCCTAAAAACTTGAATACACCAAAATTTCCCTCTTCTTTTAAAAACATCAAATTACCAAATACATTACTTTACTTTATTAATATTTAATTGATAATTTTATTGAATAGTTAAATTAACCAAAATTTTAATTTATATATTATATTAATATTGTCATGATCTGAAGTGACCTTCATGTTTCAATTTTTGTAATTTTCTTAAAATACGTAATATCAAGTGAGTTTCATATTTTTAAAATTTCTTATACGAAATGAAAAAATAATTTTACTTAAGTTTAGAATGAAAAAATTTATTTTGAAAAACTATGTATTGTATATTTTTATAATTATTCAAGTGGATTAGATGAAATTCGGGTTGAGTCGGTCGGGTTACGGGTTAGTCGGGTTCGGGTCAATCGGGTTCGGGTTAATCGGGTTGTGGGTCAGTCGGGTTGCGGGTCTATCGGGTTCGGGTTAATCGGGTTGCGGGTTAGTCGGGTTGCGGGTTAGTTGGGTTGCGGGTCAATCGGATTGCGGGTCGGGCGGGTTACGGGTTGTTGACTTTTAGTCAATTCGGGTTGCGATCGGGTTACGAGTCGGATTGATCGGGCGGGTTAATCGGGTCGGGCTATGTTTTGACACCTATACTCACCACCACAAATCCGCCCCACCCCATTCTCTCGATTCCATAGCAAATTAACAAGTAAATTATTATGGAAAAAGGCAAATAGAAAGATAATTTTCCAAGAATGAAATCAAAGCCGCCCGTCGAATTTCATTCGCTAACTCTGATTTTCCTTTGAATTTCAAAACCCTAGCTGCCAGAGCAGAGGCGAGGTCAGCGAAGGAGCAATCAGCGGATGAGTGAGATGTTGCGCTAGGTCGAGTAAGAGGGAGAGGCGGAAGGAAGTTAAGGTGAAGGGGAAGTCGCCGTAAGAGCTCTATCGGCTGCGGAATTCCGCCTTGGGGAGGGTTTTTTCTTTTATCCGTTTTTTAAGAAAGAAATTTTCTACCCGAGTCCCGGGCAACCCATTAGAAATATTTATATCCATTTTACTATCATATTGATATTCTATGATATAGGATTTTATACCATTTTTCTTTTTATAGGATTAAACAAAAGGATTCGCAAATAAAAGGGCTAATGCTACAACCAGTCCATAAATTGTTAAAGCTTCCATAAAGGCCAAACTAAGCAATAAAGTACCCCGTATTTTTCCCTCCGCCTCGCGTTGTCTCGTGATACCATCCCCATGGGGGTGGTGAAGGGAGGGCCCCAATTGGTAGAAAAAAAACCCGCAACCCCTTGGGGTTATCCTACACTTGTTGATTGGGAAGGCTGCTGTCCTTGATCAAGTGTCGGGTCGTCTTCTAGTGGAAGAAGAAGTAATATGGTGGGATTTTCTCGATTAGATCCAATTTGATGCCACGAAACTCTCTAGATTGGCCGAGCGAGCCCGTCGGCGCCGTCTCTCTTTGTTCACCGCGGATATTGGGGTTAAAAGGAATAAGGACAATATCTTGACGGATGGAACATTAGAGTGACGGGAATGGGTCGGTGAGATCGACATAGTGATAGATGTTGAAAACACCGGCAGAAGCGTTTGGCGGAGCATGGGATGAGAAAAGGAATTCAGAGGGGTGACGTCCTCCTCCGCAGTAATATGAAATAATTAAAGAAATAAATTATATAATTAATTCATTTTTTGCTACAAAATATATAATAAGTGAGATGATAAGGGTAATATGGTCATTTTGTGTTTCATTTAACGGTCCACTGACGGTAAGATTAACAGAATGGCAGTTTTGTTACATATCAATAATAGAAGGGCATGAAAGTGTAAGAAAATAGTTCAGGGATACATTTGTTAACTCGCAATAATAAAGGGGTATAAAATGCTATTAACTTTTTAATAAGTTTATATACATATATCTACACATAATATAATACGCCGAAGGGAAAAACGGGAGCTCCATTTCAAATTTCCTGCAACGAGAGTGAAAGTAGGAAGGACATTTTGGTCTTCACAATTACTTTTTTTTATTCATTAAAAAGACACGTACTGGGATTCGAACCATGACCATTTTAAAGAAAAGCAAGGATAATAACCAATCACACTAAGCACATTTGTTGTATTTTTTTAAATTAAAAACATATAATAGCAAGGAGGAAAAAACTCTTCCCCCATTTCAAATTCCCTGCTCCATGAGTGTTTGTAGGAAGGGTAGAATAGGAAGTGTCAATTTTTTTCTCTTTCCTCTGTGGAACGGGCCAACTTACCGTACACATGCGAATTTAAACGGGTCCAGGAGTGACAATTTTTTTTCTTTAAACCCTTTTATTTCTCCGTGGTGATAAAATATATATGAAAAGGAAAAAATAATACTCCTTTTTATTGTTAAAAATAAAAAATTTAACAATAAACTAATGCATGGTATCTAATGGGCTAACCGCTAACCATAAAATAAAAGAGTTGAATGGGCCTGACCTACATGGGATTTGGCCATCAAGTAAAACAAATGAACATCATTGGTTTGTCATTCTAAAACAAGCTATTTTCTATTATGCTATTATTTTATATCTTAGTGGCTAAAATATAAAGTATTTTAAAGTTATTCAATGGTTCAACCTCGACCAACACAATTAGTCCAATTTTTATCATTTCAAATATATATTTTATAATTATTTGATATCACAATGATCAAATTATAGTGTATTTTATAGGGAATCGTTTGGTATTTGTTAGTAAAAAACTAAACATAACGATCTATTTGGTTATTTTAAACATTATAACGATCCTAAACATTTTCAGTTCCTTTTGAATTTCCATGGTTTTAATCTCGATTAACTGATGTGCAAATGGCGAATTGTAGACTTAGGGTTGTTTGAAAGTTGCGATTGTTTCTTTGAGATTGTTACTATA